GTTTTCTAATTTCCTTTGTGATTCCTTTTTTAATCCATGGGTTATTTAGAAGCACTGTTTAATTTTCAAATACTTGGGGATTTTCCATTTATTTTTCTGTTTATTGATTTCTAGTTTAATTTTTGTGTCATCAGAGAACACACTCTGTATGACTTCAATCCTTTTATTTCCCTTTTTTATGGTCCAAAATATTTGTGAATGTTCCACATGCTCTTGAAAATAACGTGCATTCTGCTGTTCATCAGAATGCCCTATAAATGTCAATTAGAGTAATTTGGTTAATAGTGTTAAAGTTTTCCATGTGCTTACTGATATTATCTCTACTTTTCTGTTTCTCTATTGAGAAGGGTGTTGAAATCTCCAACCACAATTATAGATTTATCTACTTCTCCTTCAGTTCCATAGATTTTTGCCTCTTCTATATTAAAGCTCTACATTTAGAATTGTTGTATCCTTTTGGTGAAATGACCATCATCATAAAATATCTCTTTTTTCCCCAGTAATATTCCTGGTTCTGAAGTATACTGTCTGATATTAATGTAGCCTCTTCAGCTTTCTTATTAGTTGGCATATTTTTGTATATGTTTTCCATCCATTTACTTTTAACCTATCTGTAACATTATTTTTAAAATCATTTTTATTCCTTTTGCTTTATTTGGGTCTTCTGATTCTATCTTCCATTTCTCCTGATATGCTTATGTTTTCATTTACATCTTTCTAGATATTTGTAAGATTTACAATAATGTTTTAAGGTTGTCTAATTCTATCATCTCTTTCACTTTGGACCTGCTTCTGTGATTGAATTATCTCCTGGTTATGGATTCCCTTCTTTGCATGCCTGGTAACTTTTGATTGTCAATTTTACATTGTTGTGTGAAGAATTTTTTTACTACTTTACTGAGTGTTGAACTTGGCTCAGCATGCAGTAAGTTTCTTGAGATTTGATCCTTTTGAACCTTATTATTAAGGATTGTAAAGGGGAGAGGTCTAAAGTAACCTTTACACTAGGACTAATTTAGTATCATTTCTCCTCAGCCTCAATAACCTTTAACATTTCTTGTAGTGCAAGTCTGCTGGTGACAAATACTTCTGCCTTTAAAAAACAAAACAAAACTGAAAATGTTCTCCATTTCATCCTCAATTTTTGAAGGATATTTTTGCTGGATACAGAATTTTAGGGTGACTTTAATTCCCCAGCCATTTAAAGATGTCATCTCGCTATTTGCTGGCTTAAACAATTTTTGATGAGAAGTCAGCAATCATTTTTTTCCTCTGCATAATGTGCTACTTCTTCCTCAGTCTGCTTTTAAGATTTTCTTTATATCTTTGGTTTTCAGCAATTTGAAAATGATGTGCAACATAAGTGTGTTTATGCTGCTTGTAATGTGTTGAGCTTCTTGGATCTCTTTTATAATTTTATTTCTCCACTGAGATCTTTTGCCACACATCATGGCCATTTTTCCTTTAAATTCTTAAACTTATGTGTCATAGCTTTTAAAATCCTTTGTCTGCTAATTCCAAAAATCTATCATCTCCACATCTGTTTCTGTTCATTTTTTCCTCCCAGTTATGGATCACGCCTGCTTCTTATTATGTCCACTAATCTATATTATATCCTGATAACATAGATGCTACACTGAGAGTTTGGAATGTGTTGACTTCCTTTAAAAAATGTTGAGGTTTGTTCAAGCAAGCAGTTAATCTATTGGAAAGTCAGCTTGGTTTTGTCTAAACTTGTACGATTTGTTAGGATGGCCTTTCTGAGGTCTCAAAAGAACACGGGAGTTCCACAAGGTCTCCCTAGTCCACCATATCAGGACACAAATGCCTTCCATCTCCCAGCATTGTGTAACCTCTAGAATCTGCATTCAGCTCATAGTCCCACCCCTCTACCCCAATAGCTGTTCTCTGCTAGCCCTTACTGACTCTCATCTTGGACACATGTAGCTCAGTATTTGGCCAAGGGCTCAAGGGTTCCTTACACACATTTCTGGTGCCTATCTCTGCACATAAACCCCATTCCTGTACCCTGCCCCATTTACAGCCACCTCAACAAACCCAAACTTCTATCTTTGTTTCACCTGCTTAGTGATACCACTGGTTCTCTGCTGGGTTCTAATTTCATATGCCAAACTTTACAAAATATCCCTAGCTAGAAAGCTGATCTGAATGTGTAGTAACCTCCTATATTTATCTTTCCTGAAAGATCACAGCCCTATACCATCTGGATGTCCAATACCTGAAAACAGTTGCTTCAAATATTTTTTTCCCAGTTTTACAAATCTTCACCTTGGGAGCACATAAACGTTTAAGACAAGGTAAACAGTATTAGGTGCAGGGACAAATTAAAATAGGTAAAATGAGGGGCTGGCTGAATAGCTCAGTTAGTTAAGAGCGCAAGCTCTGAGCAACAGAGTCACCGGTTCGATTCCCACATGGGCCAGTGAGCTGCACCCGAGCTGAGCTGCTGCTGAGCTGCCAACAGGTGGCAGGATGGCTCAGCTGGTGAG